GTGACGTCGCTGGCGCGCCCAGCACAGTTCGGAGAACAGAAACCGCATCTGTTCTCTGTGTGGCTCCGCAGCCTCGGGCTTCATCTCTGCAGCTCTGCTGCTTGCTGCCGCCGCCGCAGGCACCAGCCTCCCCGAGGGCGCCGCCCTGCTGCACATGCATGCACACACACACACACACACACACACGCACATGCACAAACACATACACACACCACACACACATGCGCGCGCACATACACACACCACACACACACCACACCACGCACACATACACATGCACACACACACATGCACACACACCACACACACACATACACATGCACACACACATGCACACATGCACACACACACACACACACACACCCCAGATGTCTCGCCTGTCACTAAAGCTGGTGCCGTTCTTTGCAAGTATTTTAATTTCTCACCATAACCTTGACCGTAAAGAACTCATCACGTGCATGAAGCCAGAGCCCACCATCCGGGGTTCCGTGTAGCTCTGTGTAAAACCGAGCCTCAGAAGCAGGCTGGATCCATCGTGACCAGAAGGTGGCCCTCCACGTGCTGCCTGCCACCCAGGATGCACAGGCCAGGGTGCGGGCCGAGGCCAAGTGCCTGGGTCAGTCAGGTGACAGCTGTGTGGCGGTGGGCCAGCTATGACCCTCTCTGTTCCCTCATTTGTAAAATTAGATCATAACTACCTTCAACCGGAAGGTGGTGATGAGGAGCAAATGGGTTAAGATAAGTAAAGGCTTAGGACAGCACTCGGCACTCGTAACCCTTTAATAAATGTTAAATATTATTGCTCCCCATCCATCAAAATGTAGCTACATCTCGCCTTTCACGCCTTTCCCCAGACACTGGAGTCCACGCCTCGCTCCTCTCTGGACTCCTCCAAGTCACGCTGGCCTTCGACGACTTGCTATTGCAGGGTTTCCGTCTCGCTGATGCTTCCCCAGGGGACTGCGCGTCCCTGATGGTAGGAACCATGTAGTTTGCTTTGGCTGGACTCCCAAACGCGTGGCCGGCCCCGGGCAGTTCCCCGACACTCACATCCTTGGGGTGTGCCCGTCACTGTGAGTAAGCAGGTAAGAATCCTGGCGTGGTGTGTGCATGGATGCTCTACGGGGCGAAAACTCACACCGACACAGAAACCTGCACCACATGCTCATCAACGTAAGAAAGTAGCCCGGAGCTGTGAGCAGCCGCCGTCCTTCAGCAAGCGAATGGGTAAACCGCGCTCTGTCCGCGCTGGGGCTCACTCCGCAATAAAGAGGCGTGAGCTCAGCACACGCACAGCCGGGCCTCTCCCGTGAGTCATGCTGGGTGGACACGGCCCGTCCCAAAGGATGCAGGCTTTATGATTCCGCTTATATCACTCTGTTGGTGTTTTTTAAAAAATACATTTTTTATGGATTTCAGAGAGGAAGGGAGAGGGAAGGAGAGGGAGGAATAGTCTGGACTCCTCTGGTCCCCAAGCTCAGGGTGGAGCTGACCCCTCGCCATCCAGCGGGGGTGCCGGCTCGGGTGCTGCCGGCAGGGGTGCTGGGTCAGGGCTGGGTGGCCGCTGCCGGCTCGGGTGCTGCCGGCAGGGGTGCTGGGTCAGGGCTGGGTGGCCACTGCCGGCTCGGGTGCTGGGCGGCAGGGGTGCTGGGTCAGGGCTGGGTGGCCGCTGCCGGCTCGGGTGCTGGGTGGCAGGGGTGCTGGGTGGCCGCTGCTGGTGGGGAAGCCCACCCATCCAGATGTGCTCAGGAACCAGGCCGGTGCCTTGGGCATCCTACAAGCACATGGTGGGCTGAGTGGGAGAGGACAGACTGACACCTGGAGAAGTGGCAGAAAGGAAAGCAAGAAAGAAGCTAAGAGCAGGGCCAGGTGAGAGCCAGTCTCCAGCTCAGGCCAGGGCTTTTCACCTGCTTTTTTAAACAAAACAAAACAAAACAAAACAAAACAAAATATATATATATATATAATTGATTTTTTTTACAGAGAGGAGTAGAGAGTTAGAAACATCGAAGAGAGAGAAACACCGATCAGCTGCCTCCTGCACATCTCCCACTGGGAATGTGCCCGCAACCAAGGTACATGCCCCGACTGGAATCGAACCTGGGACCCTTCAGTCTGCAAGCTGACGCTCCATCCACTGAGCCAAACCAGTCAGGACAGGCCAGCGCTTCTCAAACGGGCACCCAGGAATGGGCCCTGGGTGAGATTTTCATTCCCGGCCAGCCAGTGGCACTTATGTGGCCCTCTCTAAGGGAAGCCGTCCCCTGCAGAGCAGTGGGGCCACCAGTTACCACCCCGGCACTCTGCGCAGGGTCCCTCCTTCCTGCCCTCGTGCCTCAGTTTACCCGTCTGTACTACAAGAGGCTGGAGTCCAGTGGCGCAAATCCAGTTTTTGTTCTGATCCTTCTGGGGAGACTGACCGCAAACAACTGAAACCAGGCTTGCAAAATCAAACCCCTCCCGACTGGCTGCCGGCCACAGAGGCGAAGCAGGCCTGGGCACTCCCCAGGCTCATGAAACTGGCCCGCTGCCCTGCACGCGGTGCTGGGGCTGCGGGCCGCGGGAACAGACGTGGGGAGAGCGGGAGTAGTAAAAATCCTGCTTTTCGGGAGAACTTTGGTGTGTTGCACAAACAGCTCCCACTGCCAAGTGAGTCAGAATTTCCGAGCAGCCTAATTTCAGGGCCTCCTTGCGGTTCCCTCTCTGGGCCACTTCTGAGGGGAGGCCTTGGGGTGGGGTTTCCTGTGCTCAGTCCAGACGGCAGAGGGGCTCTCCCCGCCCTGGGCCAGCATTTTCTTCCAGACTGAGTGTTCGTTTCCACTCGTTTCTGTAGCGGCGGGCAATGCGGAAGAGGAACTGACGGTTTTATGGGCTTCCTCATTAGGACTCCCCCATTCTCCTGCGCTGCTCCCTCACCCCCCCGCCCCCCCCCCCCCACACACACTTCTGTATGGACTGTCTTGGAGTGGCAAAAGGCTGCCATGTAACTGACAAAAAATAAGGTCCTGTTTCTACGTCAGACTTAAGAAAAACAATGGGAAAGTGTTCTGAGAGGCATCAAGCCTTGTAAAACTAAAGATAATAATAAAGCTATGAGCATCTGCATGTTATTTTGTGACTTACACAATACTTTTATCACGTGTATTCCCACCTATGAAATATTATTGCTGGCCCCATTTGCTGGATGGGAAAACCGAGGCTCCAAGAGGCCGTGTGGCTTGCTAAGGCTCACGCAGGTAAGCTGCGGGGCTGGGCCTCGAATGTGAGACTCAGCTCGGGAACCCGTGCTCTGGGCCGCATGCGCAGTGAGTGACAGCTCATCTCTGTGCACCAGCACTAGCCTGTGCGGGCTCCGGCCCTTGGACACTGTGACCTCCCCGGGTGGCAGCCTCTGCCACATTCTCAGGGACTAGCACGTAGTAGGTGCTCAGGAAATGCCTGGTGAAAGACTGAATAGCTGGCTGTGTGCCAGGAACTGCAGGGATGGCGCTGTACCCAGAACAGCTCACAATACCAGGCACACCACCATTCACGACAGGTGCCTATTATTAGACCCATTTAACAGAAGAGGAAGCCGAGGCTGAGTCATGAGCCCCAAGCTGCAAACTCCAGCAGTTTGACACCAGAGCTCGAGCTCTTTACTCCCAAGCGTGCCAGACCTAGAACTGGTCAAGGGCAAGGGTGGGAGAGGCCCTTCGTGTACATCACCTATGGCCCTGGAGTAATGATACCTTAATAATGGGTTCTAGGTTAGGAGGTCCGGCCGAAATTGGCATTTTAACTCAGGTCTACCCGGTGCTAACTCCAGGCTTTGGCCTCCTTCTGCCTTCCCCCAACGTGGAAAGGACACACACACACACACACACACACACACACACACCATCACTGTCTGGTCCTGTTTTACAATTCAATCTTTCTTTTAGGACAGTGATTTCTACTCTGATGTATTCCACACACCTCGGTGGGGCCTGCCAGCCTCACTGAGAAGCACAATGGGAAACGCTGGATCTGGGCCCTCCACTTAAGTCCTCAAGCCCAGTCTCCTGCCCCCACCTGCGAAATGGGCGTGGCCACCGCTGAATCTGGCACACAGTTCTCCCTCCTCCGGGGCCGTCCTCCCATCCCCAGGAGGCGGAGCCAACCTGCAGACCTGCCATTGCCGGGCGCAGGTCGGGGCTGGGGCGGAGGGCAGGGCAAAGGGCCAGGCCCGGCTGATAAGGCCTGCATGTCAGCGAGGTCAGGTCGCTGCATGGAGCTAGCGCACTGGTGTGGGGTGTCTGCTGGGGGAGGGGCGCGGGGAGCCGGGGAGGCAGGCGCCTCTTGGGCCTTGGGTTTGTGGGAGGTTCTGACTCGGCGTGGGATTCGCATTCCTGGTGGCGCATCCCCAGACGCCTCCGCTCCTTGGCATCCCGGGGACTCCCCGAGGTCCCGCGCGTGGCCGCCCCGGGACTGAGGGGGGAGGGCCTGGTGCGCGCCCCACTGTCAGGCTGGCGGGTAGTTGTCACCTGGGGTTCGCGCCGGCGGAAGGGGTGCCCATGCCTTCGCCCCCACCTCGGCTCGGAGCGGGCAATCCTGCCAGCCTCCCCCGGGCCCCCTCTCCCCCGCCGCCCCCCGTCTTCGCTCCGAGCTGCACGCGCGGAGGAGTTCCCTCCCCGGATTCAACTTTCCCGGGACGGACAGCTCCGCGCCTTCCCGAAGAAGAGACCCGGGTGGGCGTGGCAGCGGGCCGGGCTGGGCGGCTCGGGCGGGAGAGGCAGCCTTGGGCGCGGGTCGGGGTGGGGTGAGCGCCCGCGCTCCCTGCGCCCGGGGTCGGAGGGCGCCGGCCGGGCTGGGCTCGCACACCCGGGCGTCCCGAGCGCGCGGAGCGGGGCGGTCCTCTCCCGCCCGGCCCGGCAGGCGGGGCCCCGGGCGGCTCCCGCGTCCGGAGCTCCGGGGGACGGGGCGGGGCGGGGGCCAGTGTCCGGGCCCCTCCCCGGCCCCGCCCCGCCCGCCCCGCCCGGAGCAGCCCGGGACGCTGGGAGGAGGAGGGCGGCTCCGCGATCTGCCGGCGGCTCCGCGACCTGCCGGCGCGCCCCGCTCCTGCGCCCCGCTCCACGGGTAAGTGGGGTCCGGCCGGAGGCCAGGCGGGGGCCGGGGGGTCGGGGCCGCAGCCCCCGCGCAGCCTGACGCGCCCCCCAGGGATCGGGGTCCCCGAAAGCCGAGGGGCCCCGGGGAAGCGCGCCCGGCGGGGGCGGGGGCGGGCGCCTGGCGTGACAGCTGCTGGCGGGCGGGTATTTTTAGTTTAAACCCGCCGTTCCCCGCCGCCTGCGAAATCCCCGGTCCTTCCGCTCCCGCCCGGAGGCTTGGCCCCGAGAAAAAGCCCCTGAGCCCGGGCAGCGTCCGCTCTGCCTCCGCCCGGGGAGCGGACCTTTCACCGCGGCTCGCGGGCGCCGGGCCTGGGCAGTAGCCGCGGCGGGAACACGCGCTCCCGCGAGCCGCTCCGCAGTGCCCGGAGCCCGAGCCCGGAGCCCGGAGCCCGAGCCCGCAGCCCGCAGCCCGCGCGGTGGGGAGGGGAAGTCGCACCCGCAGGCTCCGTTTCATCCACTCCCCTCCTGCTGTGCAGCGCAGGGCAAGCCGCTCACCTCTCTGAGCCTCGCCGCCACCATTCTAAAGGAGGAGGGAGGGGGAGGCCGAAGATCTCCCGGGCGGCCGGAAGGACCCCCCAAATGGATGCTGACCCCCCTTAGGGTTTCCACATCTGGACTCGCAACAGGGGCCCTGGCGGATCTGGCCCTGTGGTCTCACCAGGAGCCCTGAGTGCCAGGGGCAGCCCAGCTTCCAAACTCCAGAGCCGGGGATGAGGGTGGAGAGATAACGAACGTTACTATTTTATCGCGTTGGCCCTGAAGCTCTGGCCCAAGGCTGCCCGGGACCCTCTGAAGGGCCAGTGTCCTTCCCGCGCACTTGGCAGCCAGCGGGGAGCCTGACACGCCCAGGGGATGTGTCCCCCCCTCCAGTGAGGGCAGGAGGAGACCGTGTGTGTGTGTGTGTGTGTGTGTGTGGGGGGGGGGGTGATGTCCTCCCAGAAAAGGGAGCGTGCCACATGGCAGGACAGCCCCTTCAACCACTGGAAGGAGAGGACGCAGGCCCAGAGAGGGGGAGTGATTTGCCCAGAGCCACACAGCCAAGAACGAAACCGACTCTCTGGAGGGGCTGGGCCCTGCCTCCCACACAGCCAGCCGGCAGCCAACAGGCCCCAGGGCTGGGGAGCTGGAAGGCGGGAGGGCGCCGGTGCCAACAGGCGGTTTTGCTCCGTTTCCTGTAACCGTGCCCCAGCGGGGCTCCCTGACACGTGTGGGGCTGCACATTCCTCAGGCAGGACCGCTGGGCAGCCAACAGCACAGCTGTGCCACGCCTGCGCCCCGAGAGCCCGTTTTCAGCCAGAGGCCCTTCTGAGGGCAGCTGGAGTGGGGAGGGGGCCAGGGCTGGGGGGCCGGGAGGCTTATTTCGGGCACAAGTCCTCCTGGGGGTGGGAGGGGAAGTGCTGGGGACTTACTGCTGGCACTGAGGGCTGAGTTCAGGCTCTGCCTCAGGTGCGGGCTGGCCGTGGCCTGGCAGGCACCACCCTCAGGGGGAGTGAGAGCTTCCATCGCCATGGGAACAGCTCTGTGGCCGGCTGCTTTGCATGTTCTCTCCAGTGGTGGCCTTGTCTGTGCTGGGCGGGCCCTCTACCTGCTGATAAGGAAACCTGGGGTGGGGTGCGGGGAGACCCTGGCTTGGCTGCAGGTGACTTCCCTCTGGGGAGGCAAGACTGGGAGGTCGGTGCCCCTCCAAAGCCCCTGGGAGCTCCCGGGAGCCTGGAGGGCAGCGGGGCCTCCCTGGTCACCCGCTGTTGGAGGGGGTGGCCAAGGCAGAGCGCCTGGTCCGGGTGTTCCTTTCCTCCTTGGGGGACAGTGCCGGCACCCCATAGGGTGCCCTTGAAGGAGACACCCCCCCAGCCTGTGTATGGATGGTGTCAGGCCCAGCACATGCCAGCAGGGGCCACCGTTGGGGGTGAAGGCCGGTGTGGGACACCTGAGCTCCCCCTTCAACTCTGCCCTTTGCTCTCTGCCTTGATGTCCCCCCATGTCTGTCAGAAGGCGGTGGCCTTGCCTGGCCAGTGTGGCTCAGTTGGTTGGAGTGTCAACCAGTGTACCGAGCGGTGGTGGGTTCAATTCCCTATCAGGGCACATGCCCAGGTTGTGGGTTCAATCCCTCGTCAGGGCACGTGTAGGAGGCAGCCGATCGATCCCCCTCCCCCTTCTCTAAAAATCACTTTAAAAACTGTTATTTTAAAGGTGGGTGAGTGGCCTTGAGTCACCCGCCTTGGAGCCTTCCAGCCCTGAGAGCTGGTCCCTGACCCTGGCAGACGGGGCAGCGGGACAGAGGGACAGCGATACGGTGTGTCTGTGGCTCCTTCGCAGCCTTTCCTCCTCACCCGTGATCCTGAGCTGCAGGGCTGCCGTCGCGGCCCATGTACAGAGGAGGAGAGCGATTCAGGGGCAGGAGTGGTGGCAGGATTTGAACTTGGGGCTCTGCATTGCACCACACAGGCCGCCCCAGACCGTGCACGCACGGTGCTATACCTTCATCGTGGGGCGAGCAGTACTGACGAGGCAGGGGCCTGGTCATCAGGAACACGCTGACATCTGCTGGGAAACGTGGGTGCCAAAGATTCTTTCCCCCAAAACATCGGAAAGTAGCCCGAGAGCCACCAAGAGAGGACCCTGGGCGGAGCGGTGGAAGTTGGGGCCGTGTCTGCTGACGCCCCCACCAGGCCCACCCCTGCGGATCTCTGCTTCAGGACCCAGGGATGAGGTTCCTGGGGGTGAGCAGCTAGGAAGCAGATGGGGGCCAGTCCTGGCAGCTGAAGCCTCGATGTTGTCATCTCTAAAGTAGAGATCAGCGGCCCCAACACCTCGCTGTGTGCTGCCCAGAGGATCCGTGAGACAGCTGGGGCCGGCGCCCAGCAGAATGCCCCGCGTGGCAGGGACACGCCACGGAGGCGTGCTCGTGGTGTTTGCCGTTGCTGACCCTCCCAGTGGAATTGTAACAGCGTGGGGCAGCCTGCGCCTCTGGGCTGAGATTGGTGAGGGGGGTCCCAGCATCTCCAAAATGCTTGCAAGGATGCAGCAGAGAGCTGCTCTAGGGACGCGATGAAGCTCAAAGCATTGCAACCGAGTTGCTCAAGGATGCGTACATGAGAAGTAGATGGTGGCAAAAGCAGGGAGGGGGTGGCCCTACAAAAAGTCAGCTGTCACCAGCGGGGGGAGGGGTTGGCATTGGGAGGGGCGGGGGCGGTTCCTAAGATATTCACCTTGTAATTATCCGTGAGCACACCTGTTTTATGCACCTCTGCACGTAGAGCTTGTTTCACACATTTAAGCAGCTTAAAAAAAAGTGTAAGGGACTGACAGTGCAGTGCGGGCTGTCCGGTGGGTGGGAGGGTACAGGATGGGGGAGGCCTGGCCCATGTCCCTGGATCCATTATGCTGCGTCTTTGGGTGATGGGTGCATGGGCCTTATTTTCAAATATCTTTATGATTCATCATTTACAAATAGGAACTTTATATATACACATTATATATGATGTATGAAACATTGTATATAACCCACCTATTTATATAAAAGGCTAATATGCTAAGTGTCCTTCCCTCCCTCTGGGTAATGACAACACGTAGCAATGCCCGGCTTCCTCTCCATAGCAACAACTAGCCTCCTTGGAGTTTCTTCAGCCCAGGAACACGGCTTGCTCTATAGCCAGGTGGAAACATCTCACACTGTAACCAAATGTCTGTGAAGCATTTTCCTGTGCCTCATCTCATCTGATCCTCACAGAAGTCCTGGAGTAGGTAGCTAGGAGACTCGGTGGAATCCTGTTTTCTTTTCATTAGCCGGAAAACAGAGATTTAGAATGCCTAGAAACTTGACCCGACTGAACAGAAGTAAGAAATGGTGGACCTTGAAAATGACTAGGTTTTCTCACTGCACAGAATAGAGCCAAACACGGCTGCAGGTAAATATTTTACCCTTTGTTCTTCTTGCGTGATCTACAATAATAATTTGCTTTGTGTTGCTATTTACTGCTGTGTTGCTGACAATTACCTGAAAGAGAAGTTGGGGTTTTTACTGGACTGGAAAAAGTTTAGCTAAATCAGAAAGCGGGTCTAATTAAGCAAGTTTGTTCTATATCTATAAAAGGCTAAGTTGACTTGCGCATGTGCGATACATACAAAGCTCTCACTGGCACCAATCACACACGTGTGTTTCTATCTGTCATTGTCGATCGTGAATTTGGTTGACACGTCTATATAGAGAAAGGGCAAATAGTGATATTAAAATATTTCTTCTAATTAATTTCCTTTCAATGTGCGTGAATTCATGCATTGGGCCACTAGTTATATATACTGTATATGGACATTGCATACATTCTATTATATACGATGTCTATAAATATTGCATATTATGTATGTATTATACATTATATATAATGTATATTATATGTGAACATTATATATAATATATCATATAAAACATTACATAGAGAGTATATAAACATTGCACATATAATGTATATGCTATAGATTATATATACTATACATTATATATAAACATTACATATAATATATAAACATGTGTAACATATAGACATTATATATAGTGTATATAAACATTGCATATATCCCATTACATATGATGTATAGAAACATTGTGTACATCCCTTTGTATTGATCAAATCTTACATACAAATAAGTGAAAAGATGGCATGGGCCCTTTCCACAGAGCTCTCTTAGAACATCAGACTCCACCCACGGTTCCGGCATTAATGTGCTGGATTTAAAGACGCAAACCCACAAATCCTGTGGTAGCGCAGCCTCGAGATGTTTCATTTGGAGAAGTAATCCCACAAGCAGACGTTAGCACTTGGGAGCTCAGCTTCTCAGGATGTTTTTGAAGTCTCAGCCTAATGATTTTTCTTCTGAATCAGACCTTTCTGGCCTGTTTGAGCTGGGAGGAGCCTCAGGCCGGGACCAGCCTGGCGGTGTATGGCGAGGGACGGGCCTGGCCAAGGACAGCAT